TTATTAATATTATATAATAAATTACACAATGTTATAATTAGGTAATACTAACATTATATTATAATGTTATGCATTATAACCACAATCTATTAACATTATTATCAATATATTAATCAATATATTAATTTACCCATCATTTGCACATGATTTCTGTTGTTACTATGTCAGTGGCAGTCTCTAAAGTGAAGATGAAGTGAGACTGACTAAAATTTAGACCCCGTACACAGAGAGGGAAAATGGTTTTGAAATAAATGAGCTTATCCATATGCTATACACGCGTGTATTATGTAGATATACATAATCTGCAGTGGCAATGTATCCAGTTCCATCCATCCAGACAACTGCAGATTGCAGACACTGTGAACATGTAATGCCGCCTGCTTTCAAACCAACTATTGTCTGGCTGAAGTTCTAACACGCACATGGCATTAGTGCAAGGTTTCAAGGTTTTTAAGGTACTCAGCCATTCCTGTCCTGCAGCAAGTCACCAGCTGCTAAACACTTTTGAGACTGTGTCGCAAAGGGAGATGCTGACAGATTCAAACCATGCAGCTTTCAAGGCTAACACAAACTAACATTTCCTCTTAATGCCTGTGCCAGTAATTAGGGGCTCTTTTTCCAGGACTGAGTCATCATCTTTTGATAATACACTGTTTAAAACTAATTCAGTGTTTGAGTTAGCAGTATAACTATCAATAACCACATGCTATCGTTAACAATAATAAATAAGGTTCCTCTTGCAAGAGAAGTCAATAATGATTAACCAAGAGTGGCCCACCTCGTGCTGATAACGCAGAGATCCCTACAGTTTACAGATGTGTGCCTAACTCTCTTTGACAGCAATCTTTTTCTTTTTAAAAGAATATGAAAACACATTACCTTAAAGAGCTAGGTTTCCATAACTTGTGAAATACTTTGTAAGCCCCTGTAATTGAAATGACATGTGTAATTGCCATAACATGCAATCATTCTGACAAATAACGGCTTATTTGGCCATGGTACCGGCAGACACGGAACCCCTCTGAATTACAGTTTAGCAACTTGGCACAAAGGATGCCGAAACCATAAGTAAAATTAACCTATTGCTTCAAATCAATGGTTTTCAAAGTGTTGTTATCTCACAGTACTGTCATGCTATGTGTTTTTGCTAGCCCTTCTGAAAAAGAAACAACTCCTAGCTCATGGCAACTACAAAGGAGTGTGTGTGTACATGTGTGTGTAAATACATACAGAAAAGTGTCACAGAATGGGTTCTTCAGCCCACCCCAATTTTTGGGTAACTTCTATGATGTGTTCATCTATGTAGATCCCTACAGCTGTTGACTCTGAGCTATGCTTCCTGTTTAGAGTTCTTGCAGCTCTAAAGTCTCCAGGTTCTTTACATTCTTGACCTACTCACCTCTTGGTTAGCTCCCATTTCTATTCTGGGAAAAACTTGAAGCACTCAAGGAAGGAACAGTACAGCTTCAGGCTCTATTTTTTCAGACCCTTTCTTCAAGGTTTTAGGTTTGGTTTTTTTGATTCACAAATAAAACCAGAACATGAAAGGCAAATCCAGTAGAACACTATGTAACAGATGTCCTCAATTCTGCCTCCATTAGCCAAGCTGAAGGGTAGAACACGTATCTTTTCTCTAATGCTCTGTCTTGATTAACTGTGTGATAAGTTAGTTCATCTGTTTGCTCTTTCTTGTAGCATCTTTATTCTGTGTTAGTTGATAGGAAATGTAGTTACAGGAAAACCCCCAACAGTCATATCAACAGCTTTCTCTCAAAAGCAAGAGAAATGGAAAGACGCTGTATTTTGAGCACAAACATTATGTTGGCACTTCCTACACGTTTCAAGCACACAGAAGAAGTCTCCTGAAGACTCTCTAAGCAGCTTTCCACCTCCATGGCCCAACAGTGCTTTACAAATGAGACCTCTCGGCTTTGAGAAGGCAGTAACATCACTCGTTACAGCAAACAAGTATTTGAAGTGAAAAATCCTTAGCTTTTTGTTTTATCTCAATGAGCAAATGTTTACCATATAACATTTCCTAAAGGAAAAAAATAATTATATTATTTCATATTTGACTGTTAACAACATTTTCCAATGGGATCTCTAGACCTCCCTAGACACAAATACATATAAACACATAACCTCAGCCCTGAAAATTTTACAGTATGAACAGACAAAATAAAGAAGGAATCATCCCTAATTTGCAGACAAGGCTTAACATATGAGTCACTCGCTAAGTCTATAGCACAGCTAAGAACCAAATACAAGTCCCTTATTATCCAGCCTAATGCTCCAAAAGACACAAATCTCCTAGTTAAAATTACTGCTCTTGTTTTCTTCAGATTTTCTGGGTCTGACTGTTTCTAGCTTTTCAGGGAGGAATTATGATTTATCCAAATCAATGCTTAGTCTGAAAAGGCAAAAGAAAACCTGACAGGTCATGCAACTCGTTGTTAAAATTTTTTAAAAATGCATACGATTGCATAAAAACCCCAACATTTCAACATCTTTCCTCTGGGAGCATATTCCATGATATTTTAGAATATTTTTGTCAGTTTTTAAATAAAATCAATGTGTGCAATAAATCTTCATCTACAAGTTATTGCTTGTTTTTGTTTCTTCTCCACTCAGAAAGAAGTGTCTCTTAGTAGGCAACCATCAAAAACTCCCAGAAAAGCTTAATGCTGATTAAAATCGTTCGTACATTTTCTCATCCACTGTTAACTGACTGCAATATCTACTTTATTCTGTCGTTGTTTTCAATGTAAAAGCTATAAAAGGAACACACTTTCTTATCCTTCTGAGATTCTTCATTCTTTCCGAGTGTTTCTTATATCAAGAACCTTAAATATCAGTAACTTCATAATAAAGCTGATTTGCTTCTCCAACACATTTACTCTTCCTAATTCTTTTTCCAAAAGAAAATGACTTACCAACACAGATCAAGTGAATTAGAGCCCATAAATAACCATTTGGATCAAACTGCAATAAAGAACATCTACATAAATAAATGCACGTCCATGTAAACATACATATCGCTATTTCCCTGCAGTTAGCTTCACAAAGGAAGTACAGCGAGTGGAAGTTATGCTACAGGGAAA